TAATACTACTCTGCAAAGAATCACTCAATGATGAATCAGTTTCAACTTCCCATCAAGTTGTGCAATCCAAGCTGAAAGTTTATCCATAAAAGCGGAATCTGACTCCATAAAGAAAGATTCGATAAGCAAGACAAAGGAATGCACCAGTGGACTATTTGAGGAGAGAAGACGCAGCCCCTAAAAGAATATATAGGTGAATGAAACATCATTAAACTACCATGGAGTTAGTGCAAAAACAAAAAATCTTGAATGAAGACAACCGAAAGTCTTCTTGGAAAAGAAAACACCTTAAAAACTTTATACTTAATGTTTCACTCCTCTTCCATATTAATGCAACCTTGAACAAAGAGAATTTATTTGATAAACGAGGAGACTAAAAGCTTCATCTTCTTGCATAATTCAAAACCGAGCCAACTTGAAACTTGGGCTCCATGGAGAATAAAATTCGAATTTGAACTTAATGCTGCTATACAAGACCTTTGCAATCTGGAATGAAGATAGCCGAAAGTCTTCTTGGAAAGGAAAATGTCTTATAGACTTAAAACTTAATGTTTCACTCCTCATGCCCTTTGCAACCTTGAACAAAAAGAATTTATTTTATAAAAGAGAAGAATAAATGTTTCATCTTCACACAAAAAGTTGAACATCGAACCAACTTAAAACTTCAGCTATTCGGAGAATAAAAGCCAAAGTTAATGTCGCCACAATACTTCATAAAGACAACCTCAAAAAATGAAAGGACAATTAAATATTGAAGAGACTTAAACTTCTCTCATAAACAAAGGTTAAAGGCAAAATCCTCGTGAGACATGGCCCCAAAATCAAAATTAATGTTGACACAACGCTTCACAATCCTCAAATTATGCCAATTAAGACAGCCTCAAATACTTCAAAATGCAATAAAACCGAAGCAAATAAAAACAAGCTTCAAAGCCTTCAATGACGGCAGAAAGGGCAACAAATGAAGAGATGCGTGCATGGAGGAAACTCGATAGACCACTGTATAAAAAGTTAAATTTCCAACTATGAGTCGCTAATAAAACTCTTTCTCGTCAAAATCTCCAACTATGAGTCATATACCAAATTCTCTGCAGATGTTTTTCCTATAACATCAACGACTCTTTGATATGCTTATGGAAGGACATAACTGTAATGCCTGCTTACCGGCGAACCCGATTCACGATCGCTACTACTGACACTGATAAATTTTAAAAGAAAATGTTTATATTTTAATATTAGTTAATAACATAACCATTATTTACATATATTCACAATAAAATCACACAACTACAAACAAGTTCAAAATAGAGAAACATGGAGTTTTAACACAAAACAGACTTGGGTCTAGACAAAATCTCTAAAGCCTCCAGCTCGTCCGCACAGTTGTATTGGTCACGCTGCATCTCGTATATCTGAAAAGAAAATTAAAAATAATTTTGATGAGTAATTAATTTACTCAGTAAGTAGTTAACTTGTAATTATCTGATCTGATTATTAACTTTAAAATTTCCAATTAACAGCCCATCTAGAGTTTTCGATTCGGATCGGGTTCTCGATCCAACCATCAATGCATCTCATAAGCTTGGATCATCTATCCCAGTTCCGACTCGAGTTCACTGCTCGTGTCGCCTCTTGCATTGCTACCAGTGAAGGGCATCCTTTCAAAGGTGAATACTTTCTGTTCCCAAAGAAGTTTTGGGGGTTTTAGGTGTTGATGCAGAACTCATGGTATAATGATTAACCTTTTCCTATTTATTCTCTACTTATGCTTATTATGAATTCTGAGCTGATATGTAAGACACGTTTACAATCAAATACGACCTGCCTAGAGTTTTCGCTTTGGATCAGGTCCTCGATCCAACCTTCCATTCATTTCATAAGCTTGGATCGCCTAACCTGATTCTGGCTCGAGTTCACTGCTTGTGTCGCTTCTCACATAGCTAATAGTGATGGGCTTCCTTTCAAGGATGTGTGTTTTCTGTTCCCACAGAAGCTTGGGGGTTTTTAGGTGTCAATGCAGGTCTCACTTTTCCTATTTTTCTATATTTATGCTTATTATGAATTATGAGTTCGTAACACTCTCTCGGTCAAATATGTCGCATCTTCTAGATACTCTGGCGGCCTGAAATAGCTCATAGCCTGACAATCAGGAATACTCATGTCCTTAACTTAGAACTCAACGCGTCGGTCAGGGGGTTCAATGGGATATAATAAACTAATGGGCAACATGCCCTCCCAATGGGATATAATAAACTAATGGGCAACATGCCCTCCCAACCTATCGTCCATTCAACTATAGGTGTATGTGAGGTCTAATTACAACTAGAGTTCACTTGACGAATCCTTAGTGGCTCCTACATTATACGATCATAAAAAGGGTATTTCTCGTGCATGTCACATAATATGATAAGCTCATAAGCATACATTAGAGCCACAAAGCATACACGATAATCACGAATCCCTACCATGCTTGAACTCTACTCATGTGAACATATTTATCGATACTTGGGTCAGGCAAATAACATTATTTCCACGTAGCTATGTCCCTGATCACATGATCAACATGCTTAGCACATATAACAAGTTAACACTTGTTTAGAAGCCTCGATACACTACTTACTTGTATCGCTAAATCCCTTTCTTACATAAAGCGTTACAAACTCGGCTATTACTCCTCAATCTTCTCCAATTAAACCTATAATTAATAACTTTTAGGGTCAATATGAATAGATCGACAGAAAAGACAAATAGAAGACGAACGGGACGAACTAGGATCCACCACGTGCTCACTCCCTTGACCATGTGTCTGCAGTTGTCTTCTACTTGGCGCCCCTGCGTTTTTCTAGAACTTCTCCAAAACACCCATCATGTCCTCGAACTTGATTCTTTGGCTACATTCATTATCTTTTATCGATTTCTTCTATAAAAATGTAGATCTCATTCCCACGAATCTATTGAGACAAGTTTGAGCATGTCTTATGCATTGTATATTAAGATATTGACATTCAAAGCTACAGATTTCACACAAACTTACCCTTTCATTTTGCTTCCCAACTTGGCTCGATGTCGCGCTTTTCCTCAAATTGAACTCACGAGGACATAGCCTTCAACCTTCTAAACATCCCTCTTGCTTCAATCTGCCAAAAGAACGCGTAAAACTCCACAAATTCACACATGAGCTCACTGTTCACATGCGTTTTATTTTTCCTTTCTCCTTTCTGCGTTTTGGTTTTCAAATCCCATTCCTTAACTCACTGTTTAGCCAAACCGTGGCTTTACATCCACTTAATCCTTCTCCTAAGAAAGATAGCAGACACACCTTGCACTCCAAATCCAAAACACGTGAGTGTGCACCGCTTCTCCCTCCTTCGCTGGCGTTTCAGCCCTTTCCTTCTGTTTTTTTTTTTTTTTTTTTTTTTTT